CTAATAAAGATGAATGGTTACTGGAGGACGCAAGGGAAATCCAACGTTTTGCCGCGTGAAAACGTACGGTTGGAGGTCCTACTTGGGATATTGCAGCGGCAGATAGGTGGGATATGGCTGTTTCGGCGTCTTCATTGCGATGGAGGGAACCAGAGCGGGTCCGGAAGCTCTCGCCAAGGCCTTGCACGAACGCCACTCTCTCAGGATGCCCATCCGGGAGGAGATTAACCGCCTTTTGATTTTGTGCGATCGCCTCGTCCATGTCAGCCTGGTTTCCAAGCCGCTCATAGCGGGCTGTGAAGGCGGCCCCAAGGCTGTTGAGATAACGGGGATTGTTAGGATGACGATCATCTGTGAGATTGATCACATTTTGAATTTGCACGATCGCATCGTCAACATCGGCAAGATTACCAAGCCGGCGGAAGCGGGTCATAAGAGCGTCCGCGAGATTACTCAAGCGAACAGATTTCTCGGGATGAAAATCCGGCGTGAGACGAATTGCTGTTTGTTGGTATGCGATAGCATCATTGATATCGGAGAGGTTGCCGAGGCGCTGGAAGCGGACCAAGAGGGACATTCCGAGATTCGACAAGCGGGTAGGCTTCTGGGAATCCTCATCGTCTGTAATATCAACTACTGTTCGTTCGAAGCTGATCGCATCGTTAATATCGGCAATATTTCCAAATCTTTGGTAGCGAGTCCTGAGTGAGCCCCCAAGTTTGCTCAAATACACGAGTTTGTCCGGTTGGTCATCAGGTATGAGATTGACGGAAGCTTGTCTTTGCGTAATGAAATTATTGAGATCGTCTGGATTTCCGAGCCGTTCAAAACGGGCCTCAAAAACGCTCCCGAGCTCATTCAGATAACCAGGCCTGGCAGGGTGATTATCTGGAGTGAGCCGAACAGCTTCCTGTTGCTGTAAGATGGCTTGTTCTATATCCACAGGGTTTCCCAGACGTTGAAAGCGAGAATAGAAGCTGGTTCCGAGGTCTGACAAGTAGACAGGTTTGTCAGCATGACCATCTGGGATGAGGTCGACCGCCGCCTGCTTTCGTGCAATGGCACTGTTGATATCAGCAATGTCACCGAATCGCTCAAAGCGCGACTGGAGGGAATTGCCTAGGTCGCGCAAGCGGCTATGCTTGTCGGGATCCCCATTTGGAGTGAGATCGACTGCCTCCGTTTGTCTTGTTATTGCAGTGTTGAGATCATCTATGGACTCAAGCCGGTTGGAACGAGTACTGGGGAATCTAGCTATATCATCCAAGGTACGTAATTCCGGGTCATCTTTGGAGGTTATCTCGTCGGCCGTTTGAGACTGCAGAATCGCACGTTTCAAGTCCTCCCAGTCTCCTTGTTGCTCAAAGTTATGACGTGCGGCGTTATCATCGTTCTGCATCTTTTCGAGTGCATCATCCTTGCCGGTACTCGTGACTATGTTTGGAATATTCTCCATAACGACTATTCTCGTCTTGAGAATCAAACTCGGGTGATTTCCGTGACAAATAAGTGGAATTTCTGTCGTGGAATATGTTAGGACTACCAATTGAATATGGTTGTACTACTTACCATGTAGATCCCCTAATGCTTCCTTCAATAGTGATCGGCTTAATTCTATGAAGGCAATGGATTGACTTCCGTTTATATCATCTTCTATTAAGACGGATGCTGTGAACTCTGCCACTTCTTCAGGCCTAAGGTAAAAGTGGCTTCATTTAGCAAACTTGTCCGCCTAGACAATAGACCACCCACAAAGCAACTATTTCTTTGGTGTTCCATATCCCGTAGTCCGAGACTTGAGACGATAAATTGACTTTGGATATGGGTTTTCCATTCGAACTGAATTCTAGTACGAGGTTTGTGACGTTTTTGAGGGAGCTCTCCTCTCGAATGGACGTTTCAACGGTTGAATCTAAAGGAAAGATAATTAATACATGTGCTATGGCGTGAATTTATACCCGATTACCTTTGAAAGCCAGGTAACTACAAAGAGTTAGTCGGAGCCATAGAAGGATAGAGATGATGCCCCGCCTCATTGTGTTATGATGGTGCGAGTAGCGGAAAGGTTGAAGATGGAAAGTTAGAAGACTTTAGGGCTGCATTTATGACAAGTTACTCGGAAGAGTACCGCCAAGTCAACTTTGACAGAGGAAGTATGGCGAAGGAGAAAGAGACTGTCGATCTGTACCGATCCACTGGTTTCTTCTTGACCAGATATGGTGCAGCATTATCGCCGGATACTCGGTGTTAAGTGCAGATAACTTTGCGTCTGGTGCTTCTTGCTGGTTGATATCCTGCCACCAGTTGAGATGAGACACGGTGTTGGCTACAGCACATCCAGCGGTAGATGGGAGTGAGGACGGGCTATTGGGTCGGCGGAGGGGTCTGAGTTGTGCAGAACGACAGAACAGGTGATGGCTGGGATCAACCTTCATGTTGGAAGGGGCCATATTGTATACTTATCGTTCGAAGAATTTGTAGACCTAACAAGTCCATAATATAAGCCAATGTTTGTCTCATCAGTCCCCTAAAACAGTGGGAGAGTAGCGATGTAGGACACACACATGGGCGGGGTCTTCTTCGAAGCAGGTGGATATATACATTGGGTGTACAATTGAAAAGAGGAACGCAGAAATAAAATTTTCGAGTCAGAGACGAAAGTCATACTCCGAGATGTACAAATGGAATCCAGTCTATAAGTCGGGCACTTCCCTTGTCGCGAAGCTTTTGTAATGAAACGTGCAATGCTTCGGCCGCTTTCGTATTGATGGGTCGCTTTCCATCCTTTGTTATACAAGCATAGAACTCATCAGCCACCTCTGGTGCCAGATCATCCTGAATGGACCACATTGTCGCAACGACTCCACGGTACCCAGCTAGTAACATGCCCCCTGCGATATGGACGGCTTCTTCAGAAAGGGTTTCGTCTCCTGCTGTTGTCTGGCAAGCAGACAGAAACGCAAACTCTGCGTCGGGAAGATGAAGTTGAATAATTTCTTCGAGCGTTAGATAACCATCTTCGAGGATAAGCGCACTCTTGGTTGGCTCGTCTGGCATCTGGACACCGTGACATGCAAGATGAAGCCAGCCACACTCCCCCATTCCTATCATTACTCGACTCTTGGTTCCCTCTGAGCCCTCGAGAATATCGTGTTCCCGATCAGTGATACGGAGACGAATGCAATCGAGCTCTTTCTTTGTGCTGGGGATAGAGGATGTGCCGGGAGCTGAAGGCTGTATTATTGAGAGAAGCCGGAAAGGTCTGTTCGAAGAGGTCTTGGGCGCGTCAAGCAGGGCAGATATCGTGGGTATATAAGAAGATATGACGTAGTCACTAGTACGAGTGTCATTTGAGTCTTCGTCGTAGATGCCAGCTGCATGTATCGGCAGAAATGCAAGTGGACCAGTCGCGCACCACCAAATACGTGGAAGAGTTCCTGGATGAGGCTGGAGACAAGCCAGTTAGTAATAGATAGCTTTAGTGTGGCTGAATGATTCCTACCGAGAAGGCCAGAGAATCAAGTACCGGTTTGACTAATCCACTCCACAGCTCCGCCAAAATATACTTGCATTCTTCCTCGTCATCCGCATCACCC